GACCCAAAATCTAATCATATCTAGGCCTCATCAGGACCTACCCACCTACCAAGCCATTTTAGCCCTAGCCTTTTCTTGCATCATAACTTTTCAGAATTGATAATCTCATGAACACAGTAGTCAGGCTATCACAGTTATATACTAGTGAAAGGTCTATAACAAGATCTGTGTAGCGGTACTGTGTACTGGTACTGTATCACAAAAATTGGTTTGGTACAGGTCCAAAATACCTAATCCCTAAGTACCTGTATTGTACCTGAGTGTATGAAGTTACACTAATTATATGCTTATTTGTGACCTTAAATAGCTGGTCCCCCATGGGTCCCAGAGACAGGACAGTGTGTTCCTATTATAGATTGACAGTGTTAACTACCCTGAAAGATCTGTTGCACATTAGTTATGCCCCTCTAGATGTCACTTTGGTCAGAATTGTGTTACAATCATGACACCAGTAATGTAGGGAATGAAAACTAAAACATTTTTACTTTTGCCCATTTTTACCTCCATGAAAAATGGAGGTATTGTTTTTGGCGTGTCTGTCTGTATGTATGTCTGTGTGTGTGTCTGTCTGTGTTTCCGCAACTTTGTAGTCAGCATAACTTCAGAACGCCTTTATGGATTGTGATGATATTTGGTATGATGGTAAGACTTGGAAAGACAAAGGTCAAGGTCAAGTATGGGCCTCCTGGTGGATGACCTTGGTACTGCAGCAGAACTTCCGTTTTTTGTATCTTTTGTCCTGAACAAGCTATGGTCTTGATTTTTTGGTGACAGATAGCTTATCCTGTCAGAAATAAGTGGCGTAAGTTTGGTCCCCCTAGCAGCTTGTTCTGGAACTGCAGGTTAGTTTCTGGTAAAAACTTTAAAAGCCAATAAGTCCAGATTGGAACAACGTATTTTCATCATTTTTGTTGTGTAGGTACCTGAGAGACAGTTGTACATGATTAAATGCAAATTATGCAAATGAGGACTTAATTTCCATAATTAATGAGGAAATTTTATAATTACAGTGTTTCATATAATGGTACTGCTATACATGTAATCTAATTAATCTGTGGCAGGCAGAACATCAACAGATATCAATTATGCAAATGATGACCTAATTTGCATAATTAACGTGAAAATTCTGTGAATCCTTATTGGTGAATGATGGGAATTTTATACCTCGTAACATGTGTAACTTAAAGGTATGCATCGCTATGCATATATTATGTTAATGTGGGGGTATTTGCATAATTAATGAGGAAAAAGCAAGCCCATATTTCATGGAGGTATGAGATCTCGGAACTCTTGTTTTTGTATGAGAATTCACCAGAAACAAATATTTAAAAAGTCTGTCAAATTGGGTGTTTTTACCATGTAATAATTGAAAAAGTTCAGAAACACTTGAATTTGTTGAATTGTTCAGGTACAGGTTCAGGTCCAGACCTGTAGAATTTTTTTTTTTTTTCTAACGGTGTCGCTCAATGCAAGGCCAATTATTTTTGGCCATTTCTAGGCATAGAGCTACATGTAGAGGTACTTATAATAAGTGAGTATAATGTAGTTATGTCAGGAGATGGCGGTGGACCTTTGTTTTGAAGCTTTGTGGATTGTAATCGGACGGAAAGTAGCTGTTTGGAAGAGAGTTCCATAATTTTGCAGTCCGGGGAAAGAAGCTGTTGTTGTAAAATGACTTGGAAACAGGTATGTTAACGGTGTATTGATGAGAACTGGAAGAGAACCTAGTGGCACGCTGTTTTTAGTACATGGCTCAATCTCTAACTACATTCTGGACCATGCTGCTCTATTAATGCTTCACTACTCCTCACAGCATACAGATCCCACTGGCTGCCCATCCACAAAGACTTCTGACTGCATCAAATGCTGATCTCTTCTGCTTGACCCAAGTGGTACATGAACACATTCGCTTCAAGACATGATGGAAAAATCATGATTTTTTTCACTGTAAATCAGAATTTGTTCGTGGTACTCGCGGTCACCTAACATTCCAGTTCAAGTCCAAATACTGAGTTTACTGATGCATTTCAGTGATACATTTAATTTAAATGTATTTGTTTGCTTGCTTTGGCTATAGTGTAAAGAAAACTAATAAACAGTTACTATAGAAAGGTAACATTTGCAAAGCAAATGCATAAAGTTCGCATATGGTCTGCTCTCAGTTAATTCTTACTCAAATACATTCATACATATATGGTCAGACAGGAGTATAAATCCCTCCTACCATAAAATTGCAACATGATGTAACCTAACACCAGTTACCATTGTGAGAGACGTCAACAAATCAAGTCATTGGCCAGGACAGAGGTCAGTGTTTGGAACTGAAGAAGAAACGTAGCAAAAACAATTATGTTTTCCTTCAGTAAACATAAAACAAGTGGAACCATGCCTACCAACCCTAATTTTTCAGGACAATGGAAAACACAACTAGAGAAGTAACATTTGCAAAGCAAATGTATAATGTTTACCTTCAGACAAGGTCTGCTCTCACTGTTAATTCTTTCTCAAACACATTCACATACATGTACTACTAGTATATGGTGACAGGAGCAGAGCAGACCATGAAATTGCAACATTATGTAACCCAACACCTGTCACCATGGTGACAGACGTTAACAAATCATGTCATTGGTCAGGTCATTGGAGCTGAAGAGGAGGAAGAAACTGAGTAAAAACAATGTTTTCCTTCGGTAAACATAACAATAATTTTCCTCGGCCCGACATAAAAATTTCCCTGATGGTACTATCCTGTCCATCAAAGTTATGCTGCATCTATCTTATATAAGCGTAATCCAGGCCACAAACCAGTGATTGTGTGTAGAGCAGGCTGTAATACGTGCAGAGGTAAAGCCGTATTACACGATATTGATCTACCTTGTACTGTACTTCACTTAGTCTTCACGGTAGCAAAATTTCACGGTCTGAGGAAAATGGATATGTTCACATATGGAACTCAATCTTACCAGTTGTGGCAAAGGAGGAGGGGGGCTAAAGACAAAAATTTATTAACAATAAATGATAAGGTTAGGCCACACCAATTTAATTTCTTGGTTAACGGATTTTTCAAGAAAAATAATGGAGCGGGCGGGCGAAAAAAAAATAAAAATAAAAACAGGCCTAGGCATCTTCTTATGGCCCAAAATGGTACGATAGGAGCCATGAAGTCAACACACCAGGCTGGTTCAAAATTTAAACAATGAATTTTGAACTTTTAATGATACCATTGCATTGAAAGATGGAATAACTGTAACAACTAGGATGAAAAGGTCTGTTTTCAACTGTTCAGGGCAAAATATGAGCATTTTGCAGTTGATTCTGGATTTTTATTTTTATTTGCAAATCAGAAAAAAATGAAGCGGCGAATCCGTTAACCAAGAAATTAAATTGGTGTGGCCTTATCTACATTTTGTACATGTAAACCATGCTTGATACATATACATGTCTAGATGTGTTTTGTTTATGTCCCGGGGGCTTTCAGCTTAAAAATTTTACCAACAATACATATCACATTGCACATGCACAGTTTCAACACTGAATCAGCTTATTCTAGGCCCAGGAAAAGCAATGTTGTGTTTCAAGTTTCAGTCCTGAAAAAATCAGGGTTCAACTTGGTAAGATGGGATTTTCTTATTCTTGTTTTTTAAGTTTGATTTGATTTGATTTATTGAAATTACAACAGTGCAATACAAGCGGAACAGAGGCAGCTGTTGCTGGTGTTGTGTCCCGCACATAGAAACGAATACTAGACAGACAATACTCATTTTCACTTGAGTCTAGTGGGGAAAATCGTGTAAAGTGCCTTTCCCAAGGGCACAAGATCGGTGGCATGTCAGGACTCGAACCCAGGACCTCTTGATTCCGAGTCGCGCACGCTGCCGTTGCACCACACGACCCCACAATTTTTAAAATAGATTTTGGCCTGAATGATCAAGAAAATAAAGTTTAATTGCTGCATTAATATTTGGGACTGTCTCAAGCACCTGTCCACCTGTTTGCTTCGCTTGTGGATAAATATTTTACCCACGGCTGATTTATTTATTGAAGAAAATTTCTTCTAAAAATGTGTTAGATGACTTGAAATGTCAGATGGAAAATTTAAAGCTGCTTTATACCAGTGGTCGATAAAAAAAGGATCAGGTCTTTGCTAGGGTCGGCCGGGTAACCGGAGACAACATTTTTTCCTGGCTTCATTGTTACCTTCAAGTTGAAGGACGCTGAAACTTTCTGACTTACTACCTGATTCAGAGCACTTAATGAAACGAGACACAAACCAAAAGTGACTGTAAGCCTTGATACATCGTTACCCAAGATGCCAGACTAATTTTGGACTGGTTATATATCTAATGTTTCCCAGTGAAGTAGCAGTTTGGCTACAAATTCTCAGGGAGGGATTAATGAAGAAAATGGACTTTCTGGCAAAGAACCAACAAAGCATTAGCGTGCATTGCGGAATGGGGGAAAGGGACATAAAGGCTCACTCTGGAGTGATCAAAAATTAAAAATGCACCTTGAAAAAGCAATGAAACTAGAAATGTTACATTTGCAAAGCAAATGCATAATGTAAACCTTTGCATATGGTCTGCTCTGTTAATTCTTACACTACTATAATGGTCAGGCAGGAGTAAAAATCCCTCCTACTAAAAAATTGCAACATTATGTAACACCTGTTACCATGGTGAGAGACGTCAACAAATCATGTCATTGGCCAGGCCAGAGGTCAGTGTTTGAAACGGAAGAAGAGGAAATGTAGCAAAAACAATATATGTTTTCCTTTGGTGAACATAATTATAATTATTGTGATTCTTCATAAATCCACTGCATGTATAGCTCGCTAACAACACCAAAATAAGATAATATACTAAGTTTAACAAGGGTTGAAAAAAAACATACACAAAAAAGGAGAAATTGTTATAATAATGGCATGTAAACATCAAGTTAAATGTATCATTAATAAGTTAATGGGTTAACAGGTTGGTTAGTTAACTAGTGATGGTTCACACCTTCCATTCCGAGCTGCCGGTTGTTTCGTTATCAGCCGGTGAAGCGTTCCCATTACACTGTTCAGACGAGTACCGTGACCGCTTAGCTGGAGCGACGGGAAACAAGTCCTGCAGTTAGTCTGGTGCTCCAAACTGTTAATGACTTTTTACCTCCATGAAAAATGGAAGTATTGTTTTTGGTAAGTGTGTGTGTGTGTGTGTGTGTGTGTGTATCTGCACGTTTGTAGTAGCATAACTTCAGAACGCCTTTATGGATTGTGACGATATTTGGTATGTTGGTAGGTCATAGGAAAACAAAGGTCAAGGTCAAATATGGGTCTCCTGGTGGCTGACCTTGGTATTGCAGCAAAACTTCCAGTTTTTGTATCTTTTATCCTGAACATGCTATGGTTTCGACATTTTGGTGACAGATAGGTTTTCCTGTCAGGAATAAGTGGTGTGGGTTTTGTCCCCCTAGCACTTGTAAGTCATTAATTTCAACACATAAGGCTGCCAAGTTTTAGGTTAGGTCACACAAGCTTTGTTTTATTTACAAAACCCATACTTGACATTGTGCAAATTGTACTTAGTGTCTTGTTAAAAGACACATACAAGTCTTGTATGGCAGTCTAAATAATAGTTTTTTTTTAAATAAAATACTTTCTTCAGTGGCTAAGCAAAAAGAAAAGACTTGACTTACCTGGAGCTCTTAGGTAGGGAGTTGCTGCTCTGTAGTATCTAACAGTTAACTTTACATCATCAGGGGAGTTCTTCAGATGTTGTACCTGAGTTTCAACAAAAAAAATCAAACTCTGGCTAAATCATGAAAATTGTCATTCTTAATAATGAAAATGAATAAAAAAATAATGAAAACAAATTTAGTGTGTGAGGTCAGACGACCTTTGATTCGTTTATCAAATTACAAATTGCACAATCATGTATCTAACTTTTGGATCCTTTGAAAAATCATCCTTTTTCCTTAGTTTCTTAGTTCCTTAGTGTGCACATAGTTTGTGGTACCACCACAAAATACTAGAATGTAAACAAACTTGGCTGACAGCTGTGTTTCCAGCTTTTAAACACACTTATGTTATGAGGTGTCATATTTTAACACCTACACTTCCTGAATGACACTTATTTGCAATAGAGCAGAGTCGATTTAACTTATTTGTAAAGATATAATCAGAAAATTGACTTTTTGTATCGTTGTAATATTACACATACAAACTGTATTGAGTTTAGAGATACAGAAAATCCGAAGGGAACCAAACTCACCACATCATCATGCGTCGAATGCTCTACGTTGACACCATTAACCTAAAGAAAGAGATAAAGCCAACTAAACTTTAATCACATTTACATACATATCACCTATCAGTCTTCTCATCCTGACATCTCCGACGCTCTACAATCTTAAGAAGTTCAACACAACAACCTTAAAGATGCACACAGGCACCCTATTACTCATAAGGAATACAGCAGCTGAATTGACGAAGCACCGTGTCTCAGTAAAGTGCACCTGGCTCAGTTTTTGATGTGCTTTCCGGGATGGAGTCGACGCATATATTCAGGAATCACAACGCGCTAGGGAAATAACAGAGATTACCGTCTATCCTAGGCTGTATTCCTACAAATCTCCATCTTCAAAATTTATGACGCTTATCCTGACACTGGTAGGATTTTAAGGCAACACCAAGTAATTTCTATGGATGTCGTCCTATGGAGACCCTAAATCTAATGCGAGAGGACAAAAAAGACAAGAAAGGAAGACAAAAACTAGATGTCTAGAATTGGAATATCCTAAGTGACAACAAATGTTAGGACACAAATTAAATGAGAGAGCACATAATAACAATTAACAAGTTTTTTTATTCGTCATGAAAATGGCAAAAAATCAGTGAAACAGCAGTTGTCATCCTGTTCTGTTTCTTGTGCTCATATTTCTCGGTACCGGTTTTACAATGTACAGTACAGCTCGCGTCAATGTTTCCATCGTGCCGCGTCAATGCCGCGTTCCCCGCGCGTTACGAACGCGTTCGGCAAATATGCATAAACGCTAACCCGAACGCGGCATAACGCGGTAGAGTTGGCGTAGCGCGTAACCATAACGCGTTTCCGATCGCCAGCCAAAGTTAATGAGATGGGGTCAGGTTTCATGTTTTGTTTTACGGTTTTGTAAGACAATAGCGACTTGTCACCTTGAACGGCGTCGTGTAGCATTGTTGGCACCTCTCTCATGTCGTTACAGAGATAGCCTACAACTACACGTACAATTTTCAACACGAAATTTAGTGCGTTTATAACGTTTCAAAAGTCAACAGCCGTAAGAGAATGTATCTCACAAAGTGCCGACTGCCGCCAGCCCGACGCACATTGGGGTACGGCCGCGGCGTTATGCAACGGACGCGGAGTCTTCACACACAAAACTCTTCAAGAAGCGGCCAAAATCCTCCCAAATTTCCACCTAAACGGACGCTAGGCCAAAATGTCCACATTTTATAGGGTTTCATCCGACGAAAACATTGTCGAACATTGTCGGCAAAGCGATACCACCACGCCCCCCTCCCCCAACTCACATAGCACGCGCAGCCTTCCCTGGCCGATACGTTAAAAAAAAACTTTCGTTTTCCAGGGTATTTTCACACCGAATCTACGATCTTTGCGTTCCAACATTCCGTTATACATAGGATAAAAACATATGTTATAGCTTTATTGTTCTGAATAATGGTATGGTATCACTTTTTCAAAGTAGCAATCAACGACTACGAAATCTGACCATGCCGATCCGCAGGGGGAGACGTCGTCCGGCGGTCCACAAGTCGCCGCCAAGCCGGGCCGCCCGGCGATGATAGCAGCCTCTCTGTAGCAGCCTGATACTTACCGTCCGAACACAGAAGAATTATCCGTAGCTAATTGATAACAGTATTATAGCATATGTTTCTGTTGGAGTCACTTATTTCTCGTAATTTTTTTCTCGTAATTTTTTTTCTCTCTCCGTCATGCTATACCCTCACATTAACAAGTTACATACTTCAAGTCAAAGGCGTTCCAAAAACGCCCCTGTTCGAATAAAGAGATATTTTATACCTCTACTGTATGCTTGATGTGATAAAATGATGTAGGATGTGGCATAATTTTTTTAAAAATGATACAAGACAAGCTGACTGGGAAACTCCGAACTGGAAAAAACGGCGATCCACTATCCACTAGTAGCAGGTAAGTTAGGCTAATCGACCGGAAGACAGGACTCAGAAACGCAGGTAAGGAGAACCTTCCACCAAGAACTAGGAGTCATAGGACTTATTAATGTCATTTCAAGCAAGCAACAGCGAAAGGATATGTTTATAAATTTGTTACATTCGGCGATCGGGAGGATCGTATTACTGAAGGCACCGCATGTTTTACTTCTCACCATGCGATACAATCCGTACTTCAAAGAGCAAATCTTGAAAGTCTTTGTACATGTACGTCGGAACGATAATGTTTTGTAAAGCGCCATATATGATGTACACTGCATATACACATTCTTCAGAATAGAACCAATGAATAAATACAGTCCTAACAAGCAATAATAATGCCAGGCATACATGTGAACTGATGAATAATGCGACTGCGTCCAGTGGCAGTGCGTATTTGGGAACTAATTTAAGTAACTTCGTTCTCAAGTTCCATATACATCAAATATAGCACATGGACAAATAAAATCTACAACTATTTTCTTTGTACAAGAAAAGAATTGTAAAGATGTAATGTAAAGAACTTAGTCTTATTTTCTAGCGAGTCAGAAGTTTTCTATCTGCAAGACACTGGAATAATTGCACACAAAGTAAAGAAGGTAAGGTTTCAGACAAAGGGAAGTCTTGATTATATATTATAGCAGTCAAGAAGAGCTGGATGGAAGCCTTGAGGCTGGCTGCTGACAGGGAAAGCTTTGGCTACATTGACTGCCTCTTGCGCCACAAGACGCGGGAGCCCGCTAAGAGGACGGATCCGCGGAGAACCCGAGTCCACTAATATTAATAACACAATACTGAATAATGCTGGGGTTACATGTGCTGGGGTCATATTTCCTGGACCACATTTCCAACCCGGGGGCCGGTATCGATGTTACATACACATGTGTAGGTCCTGTTCCCATCCAAACCTTCTCTTCTAAAGGTCGACATCACCTGTATTAAAAAAAATAATAATTAATTCTTTCTCTGATTACTATGGAGAGCTGGTGTATTTTGCATACATGTACATTTAATTCTGTTAATAAGTAATACTGACAAAACATATACTGGCACACAAAACAATCAGCTTATTCGATAATAAAATTTGTAGTTGATTACCATATAGTTCATTGAAGTAATCAAGAAAAACGGCCGTGTGCTAAGCGATTGTTGGTAACTCGTTTATTATAACTTTATACTAGTATTGTAGCGGGAAACTTTTCGGCTGTTCTACGCTCATCGCGGGCCACAGCCGGCTCGCAAGACATTACCACCGCATCGAAAGGTAAGGCAAGTGCAGCGAAACGTACAGCTTTGGAGAGTGTCGGCGATCAAGTCAGCAATGGTAAAAGATGTTTGAAAAAAAAGAAGACAATATTACATTATGTTGGTTTTATCGGTGGGGGGGGGGCATTTAAATGTTAACGCAGTACGTAGCTTTGTTGTTCTTTGCGAAAGGCGCCGACAGTTCTAAGCTAATTGGCAACAATCATTGAGGCGGGGAAGTATTTAAAATTTGACACCGAAACCAAAGCAACAACAAAAGGCTACTGTACCCACCCCCACTTGCGATTCTGAACTTGAGAGAGTGAAAAGGTTTCAAAATATCTCGTACAAAGTAATGCTTATGTCACAGAATCAAAGGAATAAAACTCCCCAGCATGGAAAGATCTGGAAAGCTTCCCGCCGCTGGTTCCCACGATGCGTGGCCAGCACGTGCTCAGCGAGCTAGACAGAGTGGCGTCACGCCTACCAAGGCAGAGACCGGACCCCGCCCTCTGGTCGGGCGGCAGGAGGTTTCACAAGAGTAGATTTTAAACTCCGCCCCAGTCATTGCAACATCCCATGCCGTGTAACGTTACAATCTACCCAGCAAGTTTCACGTAGTACAGACTGGTATAGCCCCGCTACAACGTGGCATTTATCAACATTTTAAGATATTTGTGGTACGTAATGAAACAATTTCTGTCAACCGAACCTTTGTAACAGCATGGATGTCGTCTTTGTTGAATATGTCTTTGTTCAACTCGTCCGAGTCCGTAAGTGCATTAAAACTGACCATGCACACTCACTGAATGTCATGTAACGGTGGTAATGTCAACTTACGTTTATTTATGTCACGTTACGACGATCAAGAACGTTCACGGCTTGCATTTCAAATCTTAACACTCATAAACCCTCTTACAATTGTGTATATACTTACGGATACTTACGGGGTAGATGAGTTATTTTCTGCCGGTTTCTTCTGAGATCGGCGCCGGCTGGCTGGCGAACCATCTTGCGCTCGGGACGTGAGTGACCTACATTTCTTACCATGTGTCACTTGACTTTATTTTAACGAAACTTGGTGTCAATATCGACGATACCCAACGGAAAGATGCTCATTTATTCAAGATAACTTTATTTCCACTCTTCAACATTCTTATCTAAACATGCTATGAACGAATCGATGTCGTTCCACTTGCCGGTGTTCGCTATATTCCTGCGGCGTCGGCGGATTTCAGGGAAACCGCCAGAAATTAAGTACGCACCCCGACTTTGACATTTTGGAAAGTTTCAAAACATGCGTGCTTTATTCTGGAATTTATGCTACTATGAAACGACACGAAACGTTATTTTTCGCAGGCCTTAACCTGCTATACTTTGTACAAACGACTCCAGATACGGGTACCCTTGATACTACACACCGCGGTATTGCCACAGCAGCCGTGCAGATCTTGTCATAGAAGATCGTAAAGTTTTGACGTTGTCTTGAGTCCACGCATTTCCCGCCCTGCGTGGGGTTAATCAGTACCCCTCCTACTTCTCTTTGATCTTACCGGCCCGTGCATATGAATACCTATGAAAACGCGTTTCCCTCAAACCCTGACGCCTGGGCGAACGCGTTATAGTTGAAACCCAAACGCGTTTCACACCTTCATTAACGCATGCGGAACGCGGTCTTATCGCGTCAATGCCGCGTTCGCGGTTGTCAGAGTTGGAAACTATAACGCGAGCTGTACTGTACATATAATCTTCAGATTTGAGGCACTGTCATGACTATTTGGTCATAGTTACAGGAAGCAGAATTTCTTATTTTTTTTCTGTAAATGGGCAAAAATCAATGCGTACACAGACGTCATCCATAAAAATTACTTGGTGTGGCCTTACCAATTCCAGGAACACAGGGACAAACCATAAAGGATTTGGGGGGGGATTTCACTTTACTGTAGCTGATAAAAAATATATGAGGATGCACTGCCTACAGTATTATTATAATTTTCTAATTGGAAACTTTTGTGATAACTCTAATTAGAGATTTAAGTTTGATTAGGATTTGATAATAAAGCACCCAGAGGCAAAACACCAAGAGTAGCAAGCATACCTTGATTATTGCGTCACCAACGAAAAGTTGGCCAGTCTGGTCAGCTACATTAGAAAAACAGGGGGGAAAATTTGTCATTCACTTCAAATAATTTTCTACATCATACTTGCACTTTTTAAAATCATTATTACATGCTGGTATAGAATGTATAAGTGTGTCTACTATTAACTACTACTATATGCACATTAGAATGTATCACAGACTTATGATAGTAACTGTATCAAAACATGTCATTTGCTAGCCTTAGGCCACACCAATTTAATTTCTTGGTTAACAGATTTTTCTAGACAAATGGAAAATAGTGGAGCGGGCGGCCGAAAAAAAATAAAAACAGGCCTAGGCATCCTATTATGGCCCAAAATGGTACGATAGGAGACATGAAGTCAACACACCAGGCTGGTTCAAAATTTAAACAATGAATTTTGAACTTTTAATGATATCAGTGCATTGAAAGATGGAATAACTGTAACAACTAGGAAGAAAGGACTGTTTTCAACTGTTCAGGGCAAAATATGAGCATTTTGCAGTTGATTCTGAATTTTTTTTTTTTCAAATCAGAAAAAAATGAAGCGGGCGAATCCGTTAACCAAGAAATTAAATTGCTGTGGCCTTATGCCTGGTTACCAAACCTATTTTAGGTGCGGAATATTTTTCATCAAAATTTATATATAGAGGACGAATGTCAAAGAAACTCCACAAATAGCTATTTGCATTAGAGGATGAAAGTCGCCAGGCTAAAATAGCTTTGGTAACCAGGCTAGTCATTTGCAGGTATTGCATACAAAGTGTTATTTGTCACTGAAAATGGCATCTGATGTGGTTATGGTCTTTTCATGCAAGGGAAAATTAATGTTCATGCAGCTACATTTTGTATTGCCTACGGAAATACAGCCTGGCAATTTATTGCGTGTTGCTTTTATATGGTGCAGGGCTGGAAATACCACCTGTATATGCAGGTAAGGTGCAGGTAAAATTGGAAGCTGTACAGGTATTTCTGATGTCTACCTGCACCTAACCTGCACTGGTCCATGTACTGGGTATATGCAGGTTAGTGCAGGTAAAGTTGGAACTGTGCAGGTATTTCTGATGTCTACCTGCACCTAACCTGCACTGGACCATGTACTGGGTATATATGCAGGTTAGTGCAGGTAAAATTGGAGCTGTGCAGGTATTTCTGATATCTACCTGCACCTAACCTGCACTGGTCCATGTACTGAGTATATGCAGGTTAGTGCAGGTAAAGTTGGAGCTGTGCAGGTATTTCTGATGTCTAACCTGCACCTAACCTACGTGTACATTGAATCCAATCCATACTTGTAAATTTTTGTTGATGATTCGAGTTATTACTACTTCACTCAATGACATTTTATTATTTGAGTGAGATAATGAATAAAATTATTTCTATGCAGTTTCATGCATACTTGCATAAAACCTACATTCAAACAAAGCAAAGCGGTATTTTCCAATGTTACCTGCACCTAGTGCTGCATACCTAAACCCAATTTTAGGTTCAGGTCCAGGTTCAGTTCCGGACTTGTAAGTCCGGACCTAAACCCATGGCATATACAAAATTGCATGTTGGCAACCTTGCAATGTTGTCTGGGTGAAACTTTGGCCACATAACATGGAGGCTGGTACTTGACGATGCCCGATGGCAATGTTTTATTCATTTTGCAGCAAAGATTTTACAATCTACGGAAGGTTTTAGGTGGTTTGAAAAGAAAGGGGGTATGTGAAATGGTCTTTTGTGGTAATAAGTCCGGACTCGGTTATGGACTTTTAGGTTTTTTTGGACTTGAACCTAAACATTCTTTCAAGTCCGGATCCAAGTCCAGTGAACTGGTATGCATCACTATTTTGAGCCCTGTGGTGACACTGAGAGTGTACAGAATGACTTCCTCACCAGCTTGGTCCTTGAATATTCTTGATATCAGGACTGGGATGTTGTGTTCAGCACCACCCTGGGAAGAAAAGATAAGAGCTTTTATAGAACATTGTCATATGGACCATTAAGGTATAATACCTGAATGTGCCTCAAGTTTGATTGAGTGCTTGCTTTGCATTCTGAAGGTTGTGGGTTTGAATCCCAGCCGAATGCATATTCATGTACATGATACACATGTACTTCTTTCTCTGCTTAGCATTCAGCACTTACAGTACAAGTATGTGAAAAATGGTACTATAAGGTAGTTGAACACACACACTGCTACAAATGTTTGGCCCAGGGGCTATAGCAATGGATAGGCACTGCCCTACATGTATACAAAAAATGGTAGTTAAATGCACACCCCCACTGCTACAACTGTGTGGCCCAAGGGCTATGGAAATGGAGAGGCACTGCCCTATACAGCAAAATGGTAGTTGAACACACAATCCTAAAGCTAGAACTGTGTGGCCCAAGGGCTATTACAATGGATAGGCACTGCCCTACATGTATACAAAAAATGGTAGTTAAACACATCCCTACTGTTACAACTGTGTGGCCCAAGGGCTATGGAAATGGAGAGGCACTGCCCTATGCAGCAAAATGGTAGTTGAACACACAATACTAAAGCTAGAACTGTGTGGCCCAAGGGCTATAGAATTGGATGGGCACTACCATATAGCACTACATCAAAATGTTTGGGAAGAATAATTCATCTTAACTTAAACTACATAACGTATGAACCAAATAATCTGTATACATGACAAATACCAACAACTTAACATGTAGGAAATTGTCTGGAAATCCAAATTGGATATTGAAAAGTTTATTGCAAATTTGTGCCCGGAGGCTAATTGCAAATTACAAAACATAAAAGAACAATGAAATAGAATATAAAATAACTAAAGTCTACATGATAAAGGTAGCTGTCTAGAACTACATGTATAAGTAAGTCTAAAACTATGTCTGAAGGGTTTGACTTCTCTTCTGTAAACCATGGAAGACGTAATGTCCCACCTTTTCCAAAATTTGTGGGTTTTGGGAAGTTAAAAGAAGAATAGTTTTTTCTTGGTCTGTAAGTTTAGAGAAATTGGGATAGATTGTAGAAGTTTGAATAGTCAACTCATTTCGAGCGTTGTTATGGAATGAACAGTTTGAAATAAAATGTATTTCGTCTTCCACAGCCTTTGCACTACAATATTTACAAGTTCTTTCACATACAGGTAGTCTTCTATACCGGCCTCTCTCTATTTCCAGAGGATGGGCGCTAACTCTAATTTTACTAATGGCTGAGCGTAGTTCGAAATCTGCAATATTTATACCTCTAGGAAATCTAGTTCTAGGACACAACCACAATTTCATGAGATGGCAATTACTCTTACTCAGTTACCAACTTAACTGCAAGAGTAGAGTCAACTAACAATCATGTGGTTCTATTTATAGTTGTCTTCAAAAGTTTACAATGATTGAAAGGCACAAAAGCTATCTTGCTATCATTACGATAATCCTCATTCAAAAAGAGATAAGAGTATCATGAGGCCACACCAATTTAATTTCTTGGTTAATGAATTCGCCCGCTTCATTTTTTTCTGATTTGCAAATAAAAATAAAAATTCAGAATCAACTGCAAAATGCTCATATTTTGCCCTAAATAGTTGAAAGCAGTCCTTTTCATCCTAGTTGTTACAGTTATTCCATCTTTCAATGCAGTGGTATCATTAAAAGTTCAAAATTCATTGTTTAAATTTTGAACCAGCCTGGTGTGTTGACTTCATGGCTCCTATCGTATCATTTTGGGCCATAATAGGATGCCCAGGCCTATTTTTTTTCGCCCGCCCGCTTCATTATTTTTCTAGAAAAATATGTTAACCAAGAAATTAAATTGGTATGGCCTAAGAAAACCTTTATTAAAAAAGAGATATGGTTTTATAAAGAAAATCCTTATTCAAAAAGTAACATGGTTAAATTTTGTCACAAAATACAATGCTGAATATATACAGGTTCTGTCCTTGGTGCTGAAAGCCTGGTTCTTTACATTCTTGGTATTTTCGTCTTGGTTTTATTACATACATCTATAAATCATATATATAACTAGAAAGGTAAAATTGGGTATGCATGACTTATTATAACAATGTTCCAGCAACTATTATAAAATACAATACTTTATGCATAGTGCTGCGTACCGGTTCAATGGACTTGGATCCGGACTTGTAAGAATGTTTAGGTTCAAGTAAAAAAAAACCTAAAAGTCAAGAACCGAGTCCGGACTTATTACATGTACCATAAAAGACCATTTCACATACCCCTTTTCTTTCCAAACCACCTAAAACCTTCCGTAGATTGCAAAATCTTTGGTGCAAAATGAAGAAAACATTGCCATCGGGCATTGTCAAGTACCGGCCTCCATGTTATGTGGCCAAAGTTTCACCCAAACAACATTGCAAGGTTGCCAACATGCAATTATGTATATGCCATGGGTTTAGGTCCGGACTTACAAGCCTGGAACTGAACCTAAACCTCTTGACTTGAATCCGGACCTGAACCTAAAATTGGGTTTAGGTATGCAGCACTATTTATGCATGAACTTTCTTAGCTTATGGCCTTCCTGACTTCCCAACCGCTCTCCATACTAATACGTAGTCTAGTCTGTGAACTTTGCTTGGCATTCTAATGCGCGATGGTAATTATATTCCGCACAGTGACTTATCGATTAGTTCTTGCACAGGCAAAGTAGTTTTTATGCCTCCAAATTAGGTATTGAGTACCTAGGCCACACCAATTTAATTTCTTGGTTAACGGATTTAAAGCGGGCGAAAAAAATAAAAATGAAAACAGGCATAGGCATCCTATTAATAATAGGATGCCTATGCCTGTTTTAGTATTATGGCCCAAAATGGTACGATAGGAGCCATGAAGTCAACACACCAGGCTGGTTCAAAATTTAAACAATGAATTTTGAACTTATAATGATACCACTGCATTGAAAGAAGGAATAACTGTAACAACTAGAAAGAAAAGGACTGTTTTCAACTGTTCAGGGCAAAATATGAGCATTTTGCAGTTGATTCTGATTTTTGTTTTTTGCAAATCAGAAAAAAATGAAGCGGGCGAATCTGTTAACCAAGAAATTAAATTGGTGTAGCCCTAGCAGGGCAACAGCAATATATTAGAAATGTCTCTCCCAATAATATTAACAAACTTCAAACTACACACTGTCAACCATCTATCATCTAAAGGGTATATGTTAGAATAATATCCTATATGACTTATGAGTGGATTATGTTATTCCCTGGTGTCTATCTTTTGGAAGAATCTTGTAAAGATAGGGGGGCCCGCATGCCCCTTTCCGTAGAGCATAATCAGCCGTTTTAATTCCATGTAGAGCGTAGACAGACCGCTCTAATTCAACGTAGAGCGTTATTGGTGCATTTTGCATAGAGCGTACTTCACTGTTTTGATTATACGTAATGCGTTGTCGTTGCAGCTACCCGGAATTTATCATAAAACGTATTATACAGCTCTTACAAAGTAACATACCAAATGATTTAGATTTTTGATTTTGCAATTAGATAATAATACCACATGTAATTTTCCTTTACATCAAGTTAAAAGCAATATTTACTTGTACAAGGCTTCATAAACCTTACAGCGCATGTTATAAATGAATTATCATGATAATATGGAATTCATTAATGCCACACTCTACCACTAGTATCATACCGGGCCAGCATATACATGCATGTAAATTACCCTCCTTTCCACCCGCCTGTCAGTTTCACTTTGTCACTTGACAAATCAGCCATTTAACCATCATTATTGAGACATCAGGAACCAAATTACTTGGAATGCTTCAAGTTGTGGATGGGGCAATGCTGTAGTCAGACTAATGTCAACATGTTATTCAGTGTCTAATGGGGATTTTTTTTTCATTTGCGGGGGGAGGAGGGTTGCGTGGCAGAACAACCATTGGTCACCATGTAACAAGGTTACTGGTTAGGCCTAGGAAAAAAAATGTTGTGTTTCCTGTTTCAGTCCTGAAAAAATTTATGGTCGGGATAGTAGGGATTATCTTTTTACCTCCGGGGAAGGAGATATCCTTCCGCGAGGAGGTTTTACTATGGTTCGAAACATTTCTGTCAGCAGCTGTTTCTCGCGATCGGCTGGACGGATTTGTCTGTGGTTCGGTATACGTATTGCTATTGGGCTGCAGATGATGCAGAACGTTTTTGTTTAATTGCATATGTGTTTATGGGCGTCGAAATAAAAGGTTTTTAAGTGCTCCGGACACCCCCGCCATGCTGAAAATGGTAATTACCATGTTGTTAAGGAATGGGGCGGTTGCAGTTTTGGGTCTTAGCATTCAAAAGGGGTCAAACAGAGGGGTGTCTGGTTCCGATAAAAATTTTGGGTGACGGCGCAGCAATGACGGCGCGGGATGACGGCGGGGGTAATGGCGCGGGTGACGGTGCAGGCTGTCAGACTGTGAGACACGTTAATCAACAGTCCATACCGAACCAACCGTCAGTAGCCATCAAACACATACAAACAAATTACGCACATAACTTTCATACTACACACAAATAACCTAAACCAATAGAACACAAAAAACCCGGAGGTTTGAAATCTACGATTTCCCTTGTTCTCTTCTTTCTTTTTTCAAAAGCATTTCTTGTTCTTGCTCTGTCCCACAAACAGAACCCTCCCTTCCCCCAGCCTAATGTATTGAGTGAAGTGTCGACCAGCAGATTGGAAGATTGTTACATTGTGGAAACCTTTGACCTTGAGAGCTATTTGACCTCCGCCAGCGAACAAAAGGGCAGGCAAGGTGAAGTGAACTGATATTGAATGTTTTGTTTTGTCAAGACATTGGCTCTCTGGAGAGTTTCTAAGGTGATGGGTTTTCCTGTGTTTGCAAAATGTGGCATTTAGCTGTGACCCCCAATGCCAAGATAAAACTGCTTCGGCGATATAAAATCTATAATGTACATATGTATATAACCAAATTTTGTTGGTCTCTTCATACATGTACAATGTACA